TGTTGAGAGGTAGGATCGGATGCAGTATTGAGATCTGGATCTGGGTCTTGGCCCTCCATGTGTGAGAAGGTAGGGATTGACGCCTGGTATGAGGATTCGAGGTCTTTCAGGTTATCTTAGGAGATGATGATCTGGGTCTGTCAAGTCTGAGGAGGTAGGACCTGGCCCTGGTATACGGATCTGGGTCTCTTCATGTCTGAGGAGGTAGGAATCTGTTACAGGCATGAGGATCTGGGTCTGTCAATGTCTGAGGAGGTAGGACCTGGCCCTGGTATGCGTAACTGAGTCTCTTCATGTCTGCAGAGGTAGGGTCTGGGTCTGTCCCTGTCTGAGGAGGTAGGATCTGGCATAAATAGGAGGATCTGGGTCTTTCAGTGTCTGAGAAGGTAGGATCTGGCCCTGATAGGAAGATGAGGATCTGAGACTGTCAATATCTGAGGAGGTAGGATCTGGGTGCGGGTATAAGAATCTGGAACTGTCAGTATCTGAGGAGGTAGGATCTGGCCTTGGTATGAGGATCTGGGTCTTTCAATATCGGAGGAGGTACAAATCTGGTACAGGTATGAAGATCTGGGTCTCTCCATGTCTGGAGGTAGAATCTGGTACAAGTGTGAGGATCTGGGTCTGTCTATGTCTGAGGAGGTAGGAATCTGATACAGGTATGAGGATCTGGGTCTGTCCATGTCTGAGAAGGTAGGATCTGGCCCTGGTATGAGGCTTATGAGGATTTGGGTCTGTCAGTGTCTGAGAAGATAGGATCTGGGTGCGGGTACAGGTGTGAGGATCTGGGTCTGTCAGTGTCTGAGGAGGTAGGATCTGGTACAGGTGTGAGGATCTGGGTCTCTCTATGTCTGAACAGGTAGGATCTGGTACAAGCGTGAGGATCTGGGTCTGTCCGTGTCTGAGGAGGTAGGATCTGGAGCAAGTATAAGGATCTGGGTCTTTTAATGTCTGAGAAGGTAGGATCTGGCACTGGTATGAGGATCTGAGTCTTTCAATATTTGAAGAGGTAGGAATCTAGTACAGGTATGAGGATCTGGGTCTCTCCATGTCTGAGGAGGGAGGAATCTGTTACAGGCATGAGGATCTGGGTCTGTCAGTGTGTGAAGAGTACTGTCTGGCCCTGGTATGATGATCTGTGTCTCCCCATGTCTGAGGAGGTAGGATCTGGATCTCTCCGTGTCTGAGGAGGTAGGATCTGGCATGAGTATGAGGCTCTGGGTATGTCCATGTCTGTGGAGGTAGGATCTGGAGCAGGTATAAGGATCTGGGTCTTTCAATGTCTGAGAAGGTAGGATCTGACCCTGGTATAAGGATCTGGGTCTGTCAGTATCTGAGGAGGTAGGAATCTGACCCTGGTATGAGGATGTGGGTCTCCATCTCTGAGGGGGTTGAATCTGGTACAGGTATGAGAATCTGGGTCTGTCAGTGTCTTGAGGAGGTAGTGATTCTGGCCCTGTATGCGGGCACTCTGGGTTGCTCCATTGGTCTGAGAAGGTAGATTCTGGCCCATTAGAATAAACTGGGTCTGTCAGTATCTGAGGAGGTAGGATCTGGGTGCAGGTATAAGAATCTGGTACGGTCAGTATCTGCGGAGGTAGGATCTGGGTGCCGGTATAAGGATCTGGATCTGTCAGTATCTGAGGAGGTAGGATCTGGCCCAGGTATGAGGATCTGAGTCTGTCCATGTCTGAGGAGGCAGGATCTGGTACAGGTATGAAGATCTGGTTCTCTCCATGTCTCAGGAAGTAGCATCTGGTACAGGTATGAGGATCTGGGTATGTCCATGTCTGAGGAGTTAGGAATCTGGTACAGATAGGAGCATCTGGGTGTGTTCGTGTCTGAGGAGGTAGGATTTGGTGCATGTATTAGGATCTGGGTCTGTCCATGTCTGAGGAGGTCGCATCTGGCACGGATATCAGGATCTAGGTATTTTAATGCCTGAGATGGTAGGATCTGGCCCTCGTTTGAGGATCTGGGTCTTTCAGTATCTGAGGAAGTAGGAATCTGGTACAGGTATGAGGATCTGGGTCTGTCAATGTCTGAGGAGGTAGGAACTGGCCCTGGTATACGGATCTGGGGTCTCTTCATGTCTGAGGAGGTAGGAAGCTTACAGTCATGAGGATCTGGATCTGTCAATGTCTGAGGAGGTAGGACCTGGCCCTGGTATGCGGATCTGGGTCTCTTCATATTTGAGAAGGTAGGATCTGGGTCTGTCCATGTCTGTGGTGTCTGTGGAGGTAGGATCTGGTGCAGATATAAGGATCTGGTCTTTCAGTGTCTGAGAAGGTAGGATCTGGCCTTGGTACAAGGATTTGGGTCTGTCAATATCTGAGTAGGTACGAATCTAGTACAGGTATGAGGATCTGGGTCTCTCCATCTCTGAGGAAGTAGCATCTGGTACAGGTATGAGGATCTGGGTCTGTCTGTGTCCAAGGAGGTAGGATCTGGTACAGGTGTGAAGATCTGGGTCTGTCTATATCTGAGGAGGTAGGATCTGGCCCTGGTATGGGGATCTGGGTCTGTCCATGTCTGAGAAGGTAGGATCTGGCCCTGGTATGAGGCTTATGAGGATTTGGGTCTGTCAGTATCTGAGGAGGCAGGATCTGGGTGCAGGTACAGGTATGAGAATGTGGGTCTGTCATTGTCTAAGGAGGTAGGATTTAGCCCCAGTATGAGGATCGGGGTCTGTTCATGTCTGAGAAGGTAGGATCTGACTCTGATATGAGGATTACAAGCATCTGGGTCTCTCAGTATCCGATGAGGTAGGATCTGGGTGCGGGTATAAGGATCTGGATCTCTCAGTATCTGAGGAGGTAGGATCTGGCCCTGGTATGAGGATCTGAGTCTGTAAATGTCTGAGGAGGTAGGATCTGGTACAGGTGTGGGGATCTGGGTCTCTATGTCTGAATAGGTAGGATCTGGTACATGTATTAGGAACTTGGTCTGCCCATGTCTGAGGAGGTAGGACCTGGCCCTGGTATGAGGATCTGGGTCTCTTCATGTCTACGGAGGTAGGATCTGGGTCTGTCCATGTCTTAGGAGGTAGGATCTGGCCTGAGTATGAGGATCTGGCTCTGTCCATGTCTGCGGAGGTAGGATTTGGTGCAGATATAAGCATCTGGGTCTTTTAATGTCTGAAAAGGTAGGCTCTGGCCTTGGTGTGAGGATCTGGGTCTATTAATATCTAAGGAGGTACGAATCTAGTACAGGTATGAGGATCTGGGTCTCTCCATGTCTGAGAAGATTGACTGTAGTACAGGTATGAGGATCTGGGTCTGTCAGTGTCTGAGGAGGTAGGATTTGGCCCTGGTGTGAGGATTTGGGTCAGTCAGTGTCAGGAGTTAGGATCTGGCCCTGTTATGAGGATCTGGGTCTGTTCATGTCTGAGATGGTAGGATCTGGCCCATTAGGATTTTGAGGATATGGGTCTGTCAGTATCTGAAGAGGTAGTATCTGGGTGCGGGTATAAGGATCTGTATCTGTCAGTATCTGAGGAGGTAGGATCTGGCCCTGATATGAGGATCTGAGTCTGTCAATTTCTGAGGAGGTATGATCTGGTACAGGCATGAGAATCTGGGTCTGTCCATGTCTGAGGAGGTAAGATCTGGCACAGATATAAGGATCTGGGTCTGTTCATGTCTCAGGAGGTAGGACGGCGCAATTATAGGGATCTGGGTCTATCAATGTCTGAGAATGTAGCATCTGGCTCTAGTATGGGGATCTGGGTCTTTCAATATCTGAGGAGGTAGGAATCTGGTACAGGTATGAAGATCTGGGTCTCCTCACGACTGAGGAGGTAGGAGTCTGTTACAGGCATGAAGATCTGGGTCTGTCAATGTGTGAGGAGGTAAGATCTCTTCCTGATATGACAATCTGGGTCTGTCAGTGTTTGAGGAGGTAGGAATCTGGTACACGTATGAGGATCTGCATCTGTCAATGTCTGAGGAGGTAGGACCTGGCCCTGGTATGAGGATCTGGGTCTCTCCATGTCTGAGGAGTAGGATCTGGATGTGCCCGTGTCTGAGGAGGTAGGATCTGGCATGAGTATGAGGATCTGGATCTGTCCATGTCTGCAGAGGTAGGATCTGGAGCAGGTATAAGGATCTGGGTCTTTCAATGTCTGAGAAGGTACGATCTGGCCCTGGTATGAGGATCTGGGTCTTTCAATATCTGAGGAGGTAGGAATCTAGTATTGGTATGAGGATCTGGGTCTTTCCGTGTCTGAGGAGGTTGGATCTGGTACAGGTATGAGGATCTGGGTCTGTTCATGTCTGAGAAGGTAGGATCTGGCCCAGTAAGATTATGAGGATCTGAGTCTGTCAGTATCTGAGGGGGTAGGATCTGGCCCTGGTATGAGGATCTGGATCTGTCAGTATCTGAGGAGGTACGGATCTAGTACAGGTGTGAAGATCTGGGTCTGTCTATGTCTGAGGAGGTAGGAATCTGGTACAGGTATGAGGATCTGGGACTGTCAGTGTCTGAGGAAGCAGGATCTGGCCCTGGTATGAGGATCTGGGTCTGTCCATGTCTGAGAAGGTAGGATGTGGCCCTGGTTTGAGGCTTATGACGATCTGGGACTGCCAGTATCTGAGGAGGCAGGATCTGGCCCTTGCATGAGGATCTGTGTCTGTCAATGTCTGAGAAGGCAGGATCTGGTACAGGTGTTAGGATTTGGGTCTCTCCGTGTCTGGAGGTAGGATCTGATACAGATGTAAGGATCTGGGTCTGTCCATCTCTGAGGAGGTAGGATCTGGTACAAGTATGAGGATCTGGGTCTCTCCATGTGTGAGAAGGTAGGAATCTGGTACAGATACAAGGATCTGGGTCTGTTTAGGTAGGATCATGTCTGAGGAGGTAGGATTTGGTGTGGGTATTAGGATCTGGGTCTGTCCATGTCTGAGGAGGTAGGATGTGGCACAAATAGAAGGATTTGGGTCTATCAGTGTCTGAAAAGGTAGGATCTGGCCCTGGTATAAGGATCTGGGTCTTTCAATATCTGAGGAGGTAGGAATCTGGTACAGGTATGAAGATCTGGGTCTCTGTATGTCTGTGGAGATAGGAATCTGTTACAGGCATGAGGATCTGGGTCTGTCAATGTGTGAGGAGATAAGATCTGGCCCTGGTATAAGGATCTGGGTCTGTCAGTGTTGGAGGCGGTAGGAATCTGGTACATATATGAGGATCTGCGTCTTTCACTGTCTGAGGAGGTAGGACCTGGCTCTGGTATGAGGATGTGGATCTCTCCATATCTGAGGAGGTAGGATCTGAGTCTGTCCGTGTCTGAGGAGGTAGTGAGGATCTGGGTCTGTTCATGTCCGCGGAGGTAGGATCTGTGGCAGGTATAAGGATCGGGGTCTGTTCATGCCTGAGAAGGTAGGATCTGTCCCATTAGGATTTTGAGGATCTGGGACTGTCAGTGTCTGAAGAGAGAGTGTCTGGGTGCCGGTATAAGGATCTGGATCTGTCAGTATCTGAGGAGGTAGGATCTGGCCCTGGTATGAGGATCTGAGTCTGTCAATGTCTTAGGAGGTAGGCTCTGGTACAGGTGAGAGGATCTGGGTCTGCCCATGTCTGAGGAGGTAGGAATCTGGTACAGGTATGAGGAACTGGGTCTCTTCATGTCTGAGAAGGTAGGACCTGGCCCTAGTTTGAGGATCTGGGTCTTTCAATATCTGAGGAGGTAGGAATCTGGTACAGGTATGAGGATCTGGGTCTCTTCATGTCTGAGGAGGTAGGATCTGGCCCTGGTATGAGGATCTGGGTCTGTTCATGTGTGAGGAGGTAGGACCTAGCCCTGGTATGAGGTTCTTGGTCTCTCCAAGTCTGAGGAAGTAGGTTCTGGGTCTGTCCATGTCTGAGGAGGTAGGATCTGGCATGAGTATGAGGATCTGGGTCTGTTCATGTCTGCAGAGGGAGGATCTGGCTCAGACATAAGGATCTGGGTCTTTCCATGTTTCAGAAGGTAGGATCTGGTCTTGGTATTAGGATCTGGTACAGGTAGGAGGATCTGAGTCTCTCCATGTGTGAGAAGGTAGGAATCTGGTACAGCTACAAGGATCTGGGTCTGTTCATGTCGTCATTATGGGTCTGTCCAGACATCTTTCAATATCCAAGGAGGTAGGAATTTGGTACAGGTATGAGTATTGGGTCTCTCCATTTCTGAGGATGTAGGAATCTGTTACAGGCATGGGGATCTGGGTCTGTCAGTGTCTGAGGAGGAAGGACCTGGCCCTGGTATGAGGATCTGGGTCTCTCCATGTCTGAGAAGGTAGGATCTGGTGCACATATAAGGATCTTGGTCTGTCAGTGTTGTGGAAGGTAGGATCTGGCCCTGGTATGAGTATCTGGGTATGTCAGTATCTGAGGAGGTAGCATCTGGCCCTGGTATGAGGATCTGGGTCTCTCAATATCTGAGGAGGTAGGATCTCATACAGGTATGAGGATCTGAGTCTTTCAATATCTGAGGAGGTAGGATATGGCACAGGTGTGAGCATCTGGGTCTGTCTGTGTCTAAAGAGTTGGAGCTGTATGCAGGTATGAGGCCTTGGTTCTGCCAGTGTCTAAGGAAGTGAGGCTGGGCACAGATATGAGGCTCTAGGTGTGTCCATATCTGAGGAGGTAGGATCTGGTACCAGTATGAGGATCTGAGTCTCTCCATGTCTGAGGAGGTAGGATCTGGTACTGGTATGAGGTTCTGGGTCTGTCAGTATCTGAAGAGATAGTAGTCTGCTGCAGGTATGAGGATCTGGGTCTCTTCATGTCTGAGGAGGTAGGAATCTTGCAGGCTTGAGGATCTGGGTCTGTCAATGTTTAGGGAGGTAGGACCTGGCCCTGGTATGAGGATCTGGGTTTCTCCATGCCTGAGGAAATAGGATCTGGGTCTGTCCCTGTCTAAGGGGGTAGGATCTGGCGCAGATGTAAAGATCTGGGTCTTTCAATGTCTGAGAAGGTAGGATCTGGCCCTTTTTTGAGGATCTGAGTCTTTCAATATCTGAGGAGGTAGCAATCTGTTACAGGCATGAGGTTCTGGGTCTGTCAATGTCTGAGGATCTGGGTCTCCCCAAGTCTGAGGAGGTAAGATCTGGGTCTGTCCATATCTTAGGAGGTAGGATCTGGCATGAGTATGAGGATCTTGGTCTGTTCATGTCTGAGGAGGGAGGATCTGGTGCACATGTAAGGATCTGGGTCTGTCAGTGTGAGAGATGGTAAGGTCTGGTCCTGCTATGAGGATCTGGATCTGTCAGTATCTGAGGAGGTAGGCTCTGGCCCTGGTATGAGGATCTGGGTCTGTCCATGTCTGAGGAGGTAGGATCTGGTACCAGTATGAGGATCGGGGTCTGTCAGTATCTGAGGAGGTAGGAATCTGGTACAGGTTTGAGGATTTGGGTCTGTCTCTGTCTCAGGAGGATGACCTCGTACAGGCATGACTATTTGAGTATTGCAGTGTCTGTGGAGGTAGGATATGGTGTAGGTGTGAGGATCTGGGTTTGTCCATGGCTGAAGAGGCAGGATCTGGTACAGGTGTGAGGATCTGAGTCTGCTCACATCTGAGGAGGTAGGATCTGACCCGTTATGAGGATCTGAGTCTGTCAATATCTGAAGAGGTAGGAATCTGGTACAGGTATGAGGATCTGTGTGTGTCAGCATCTGAGGAGTTCGGAATCTGATACAGGTGTGAGAATCTGCATGTCTCTGTATCTGAGGAGTTCAGAATCTGATACAGGTGTGAGGATCTGCATGTCTCTGTATCTGAGGAGGTAGGATCTCATAGAGGTGTGAGGATCTGCATGTCTCTGTATCTGAGGAGTTCAGAATCTGATACAGGTGTGAGGATCTGCATGTCTCTGTATCTGAGGAGGTAGGATCTCATAGAGGTGTGAGGATCTGCATGTCTCTGTATCTGAGGAGGTAGGATCTCATAGAGGTGTGAGGATCTGCATGTCTCTGTATCTGAGGAGGTAGGAATCTGATACAGGTGTGAGGATCTGCATGTCTCTGTATCTGAGCAGGTAGGAATCTGATATAGGCGTGAGGATCTGCGTGTCTCTGTATCTGAGGAGGTAGGATCTGATACAGGTATTAGGATTTGGGTCTATGTCTGAGGAAGTAGCATCTGATACAGGTATTAGGACCTGGGTCTCTTTAAGTGTCTGAAGAGGTTGGATCTGGCCCTGGTATGAGCATCTGGGTCTGTCAGTATTTGAGGAGGTAGGATCTTATACAGGTATGAGGATCTGGGTCTTTCAATGTCTGAGGAGGTAGGATCTCATACAGGTATGAGGATCTGGGTCTTTCAATGTCTGAGGAGGTAGGATCTGGCACAGGCATGAGCATCTGGGTCTGTCCATGTCTAAAGAGTTGAAGCTGTGTGCAGGTATGAGGCCTTGGGTCTGCCAGTGTCTGGGGAGGTGAGGCTGGGCACAGATATGAGACCCTGGGTCTGTCCATATCTGAGGAGGTAGGATCTGGTATGAGTATGAGGATCTGGGTCTGTTCGTGCCTGAGGAGGTGGGACCTGTGACAGGTATGAGGCCCGGGGTCTGTCCGTGTCTGAGGAGGTAGGTCCTGGCACAGGTATGAGGCCCGGGGTCTGTCCGTGTCTGAGGAGGTGGGTCCTGGCACAGGTATGAGGCCCGGGGTCTGTCCGTGTCTGAGGAGGTGGGCCCTGGCACAGGTATGAGGCCCGGGGTCTGTCCGTGTCTGAGGAGGTGGGCCCTGGCACAGGTATGAGGCCCTGGGTCTGCTGGTATCTGCAGAGACAGGGCCCAACATCTCAGGGAAGAGCCCGGTAAGCTCTTCAGTTTGTCTTGTGGCTGTGGTCAGTTCCACGTGTAGTCTGCCCTGTTGGTCTTCCCGTGTGTTGCCAGCGCCTGCCTGCTGCCTTGCTTCCTGGAGGTGGGTTGGGCCAGGGCCCTCCAAGATGCCCCTGTGCAAGACCAGGGACAGGGTTTCCGGCAGGAGGTGGGGGGCGGGGTGTGCCGGCCCTCCCTCAGCACCTTGTCCTGTCTCTCCTAGTGGGTGGGAGGACGCTACTCGCTGTGGTCGGCCATCGGACTCTCCATTGCCCTGCACGTGGGTGAGTGTATATGTTTCTGTGTCTTGTAGCCCCCGTGGGAGACAGGGTAGGGGACTCGTGTCCCTGAACATCATGCTGTCCTCACAGGCTGCTGGCCTCTCTGCAGCTGGCTGGGATATTTCTTTCATGTCCATAAGGAAGGTCTGGGTTTTTTTGGGTGTGCGGGTCGGCCCCCGTCTCTGCCCCTCACACCTGCAGTCCTGTTTCTCTCCTATCCTAGGCAGAGTCAGATCCCTGCACTCAGGGCCACCTCTCACTGGAGGGGCTTTGTCTAGGCCTGAGTCCTCCCGTGTCGTGTCTTCTGGCTCTCCATGCAGCCTTCCTTGGTTGCAGAAGATGCTGTGTCCAATGCCCACAGGACGCAGCGTGTGGCCACTTCTGTTGACTCTGCTTTTGTGTCACAGGTTTTGACAACTTCGAGCAGCTGCTCTCGGGGGCTCACTGGATGGTGAGTGCTGAGGCTGGTTCTCTGCCAAGTGCTGGCCAGAGGCGTGTGTGTTGGTCCTGGTCCCTCCCTTTTCTCCCCCACTGTCCTGTCCCTCCCCCTCCCCGTGCAACTGCTCAGCTTCCACTCACCCTGCTCCTGTTTCAGGACCAGCACTTCCGCACGACGCCCCTGGAGAAGAACGCCCCCGTCCTGCTGGCCCTGCTGGGTATCTGGTACATCAACTGCTTTGGGTGTGAGACGCATGCCATGCTGCCCTATGACCAGTACCTGCACCGCTTTGCTGCGTACTTCCAGCAGGTACCAGCTGCCAGACCAGGCCTTGGAGTCAGCAGGGCCTGTGGGGGGTCTAGGAGGCCCAGGAACCTGGGTTTCAGCTCCTCCAGGAGCTCTTTGCCCCATTGCCCTTGGGCCTGGCCAAGGTCCACCTGTGCTCCTTGTCTCAGGATGAATCTTTGTAACTGAGGTTGGTTCCATTTGAGTGTCATCTGAGTTTGACCACCATGGGAGGGGCATGACTGGTGATCATGTCGCCCTGGCTAGGGAGGTCCTGGCTTGGCTCAGGGGATGTTTCTCAGCTGGGGTCACTTCTTTCTTGCACATCACTATGCATGCCCAGCATAGTGTCTGAGGACGTAGGATCTATCCCTGGTATGAGGTCCTAGGTCCATTAATATCTGAGGAGGCAGGATCTAGTACAGTTATGAGGATCTGGGTCTGTCCATGTTAGAGGAGGTGAAATTTGGCCATAGGGTGGGGCTGCAAGCTGGAATCCCTTGTAGCCCATAGTGCCTTTATGTCTCCAGAAAAGCAAGTCTCTATCTAGTCTGTGGTAGCCTCTTTGGACTACGTGGTCCTCTTCTCCCTTGGGATCTCCAGAGCCCCCGAGAGGCTTAGCAGGCCCTTTCCTAGTCACATTATGTCCCAGAAAGCTTTTCCACACCTGTCCCTGCTTTTTTTGTTTTGAACAGATTCTCATTCTGTCGCCCAGGCAGGAGTGCAGTGGCGCGATCTTGGCTCACTGCAACCTCCGCTTCCTGAGTTCAAGCGATTCCTGTGCCTCAGCCTCCCAAGTAGCTGGGATTACAGGCATGCACCACCATGCCTGGTTAATTTTTGTATTTTTAGTGGAGATGGGGTTTCACTATGTTGCCCAGGCTGGTTTCGAACTCCTGGCCTCAAGCTATCCACCTGCCTTGGCCTCCCAAAGTGCTGGGATTACAGGCATGAGCCACCATGCCCGACCCTGTCCTTGCTTTTGTTTAGTACAAAGCCAGTCCCTGTCCAGCAGCTCTTGAGTTGCTTTGGGCAGGTACAGAAGGCTTCACCAACACCTGGAAGCAACACCTGAATGAAGGAGAGGCCAAGGTTCCCCAAATCCCAGCTGCCTTGGTGAGGGTTGCCATGACCAGGGCCCAGGTGGGTGCCCAAAGCCTAGCGTCTAGTTGAGGTGACAGCCCTCAAAGGCTGTACTCTAAGCCGGGCTTGGTGGCTGATGCCTGCAATCCCAGCACCTTGGGAGGCTGAGGGGGGCATTGCTTGAGGCCAGGAGTTCAAGACCAGCCTGGGCAACATAGCGAGACGCGGTCTCTACAAAAAAACCCACAAAAACTAACAATAGCTGGGCATGGTGGTGCGGCACCTGTAGTCCCAGCTACTTGGGAGGCTGAGGCAAGAGGTTTGCTTGAGCCCAAGAGGTCGATGCTTCAGTGAGCTATGATTCTACCACTGTACTCCAGCCTGTGTGACAGAGTGAGACTCTGTCTCTTGGAGGAAAAAAAAAGCTGTGCCCTCTGGACCCCAGCCTACTCTCCCTTAAGAAATGAGTTGATTTTGTGACCGATTTTGTCTTTAGGGAGGTCCTTGCCTGACCTCCAGACCCACCTTTTCCTGGGCATGAGTCCTTCTTGCACCGTGGCCTAAGCTGGAAAGGTTGGGAGGCTGTGTCCTCACGGGTGTGGGGAGGAAGGGGATCGTGCCTGCGGACACGGGTGCGGGTCCGCCTCACGGGGCCAGGGCAGGGTGGGTCTGTCTGGAGCATCTGGGCAGAACCTGGGCGTGGTGCAGGAAGGAGCAGGATTTGGGTACAGTGTGTGAAGGATCAAGATTTGCAGGTAGAGGGTTGGGTTTTTTTTTTTTTCTTTTCTTTTTCTGTTTCTTTTTTTTTGAGATGGAGTTTTGCTCTTGTTGCCCAGGCTGGAGTGCAGTGGCGAGATCTTGGCTCACCACAACCTCTGCCTCCCGTGTTCAAGTGATTGTCCTGCCTAAGCCTCCCAAGTAGCTGGGATTATAGGCATGCGCCATCACACCTGGCTAATTTTGTATTTTTAGTAGAGGCAGGGTTTCTCCGTGTTGGCCAGGCTGGTCTCAAACTCCCAACTTCAGGTGATCCGCCCGCCTCGGCCTCCCAAAGTGCTGGAATTACAGGCTTGAGCCACTGCGCCCGGCTTCTTTCTTTCTTTTTAAATGTTCTTTCATTCTGCCAAGGGCTGGGTTTCTCTTCCTTTTCCAGGGCGACATGGAGTCCAATGGGAAATACATCACCAAATCTGGCACCCGTGTGGACCACCAGACAGGCCCCATTGTGTGGGGGGAGCCTGGGACCAATGGCCAGCATGCTTTTTACCAGCTCATCCACCAAGGTAGGCCCGTGTGGCTGGGCAGGGTGGCGTTGGGGAGGGAAAGGATCTTCCAGAAGAGATACCTCACTTAGGTCAGTGCCCTCCTCTAGGCTGTATGGCTAGCTCCCATGGGCGGGGGTCATGTGGGTGACCACAGTGCCCTTCACAGGCACCAAGATGATACCCTGTGACTTCCTCATCCCGGTCCAGACCCAGCACCCCATACGGAAGGGTTTGCATCATAAGGTAAGAGCCCCCATCTGGCGGGTCTGGCTCACATTGCACCCAGACCTCTGGAAACCTGATGCATTGGTTAACAATCACGTTAGTTTTCTATTCCTGCCATAACAAATGACAACAAACATGGAGGCTTAAAACAACACTCTTTTTTTGAGGATGGGGAGTAGGGACAGAGTCTTGCTGTGTTGCCCAGGCTGGAGTGCAGTGGCGCGATCTTGGCTTACTGCAACCTTCCCCCTTCCAGCCTCAGGTGATTCTTAACGCCTCAGCCTCCCAAGTAGCTGGGACTATAGGCACTCACCACCACGGCCTGCTAATTTTTATATTTTTGGTAGAAGGTTTCACTGTGTTGGCCAGGCTGGTCTTGAACTCATGACCTCAAGTGATCCACCTGCCTCAGCCTCCCTAAGTGCTGGGATTATAGGCATGAGCCAACGCACCTGGCCTATCTCAAGAGTTTCTGAAGCTCAGATGTCCAGCAGGCCCTGCTGTATCTCTGCTTAGAGTCTTGCAGGCTGAAATCAAGGTGTCATCAGGACTGTGTTTCTTTCTAGAGACTTTAGGGGGAAAGCCTTTTCTGTGCTTGCCAGGTGGTTGGCAGAATTCATTTCTGTATGTTTGTGGAGCTGAAGTCCAACTTCTTGCTGTGGGCTGAAGATCCTTCTCAGATTCTCAAGGTCACCTGCATTCCCTAGCTTGTGGGCCTCTTCACTGCAGAACCAGCAATGGCAGGTTAAATCCTTCTGAAGCTTTGATTCTGGCTTGCCACTTCTGTTGCATCTCTCTGACTTGTTTACCTTCGGTGGGGAAAAGAAAGAAAGATCAGACTGTTACTGTGTCTATATAGAAAGAAGTAGACATAAGAGACTCCATTTTGTTCTGTATTTGAGATGCTGTTAATCTGTGACCCTACCCCCAACCTTGTCCTTGCAAGAGACATCTGCTGTGGTGACTCAAGGTTTAATGGATTTTGGGCTGTGCAGGGTGTGCTTTGTTAAACAAGTGCCTGAAGGCAGCTTGCTGGTTCTAGTGCAGTGCTGCTCTTTATGCACTAAAAAGGTTTATGGAGATGTTTACATATGCATATCAAGGCACAGCACTTTTCCTTAAACTTATTCATGTCACAGAGAACTTTATTCATACGTCTTACTGCTGACTTTCTCCCTATAATGATCCTATTATCTTGCCACTTCTTTTTCTTTAAGATGGTAAAGATAATTATCAATAAATACTAAGAGAACTCAGAGACCCGCGCTGCCGTGAGTCCTCTGTATGCTGAGCGCCGGTCTCCTGGGCCCACCTTTTCTCTCTCTATACTTTGTCTCTGTGTCTCATTTCTTTTCTCAAGTCTCTCGTTCCACCTAATGAGGAACGCCCACAGATGTGGAGGGGCAGGCCACCCCTTCACCTTCCTCCTCTGCATTTTTCTTTTATTCCCTAAGTGACAGCGTCGTGCTGTGTTGTCTAGGCTGGACTTCAGTGGCATGATTACAGTTCACTGCATTTTCGACGTCCCAGGCTCAAGCAATCTTCCTGCCTCAGCCCCTCAAGTAGCTGAGACTTACAGGCACACACCACCATGCCTGGCTAACTTTTAAACTTTTAGTAGAGACGGGGTTTCACTATG